CAGTCCCTAAACCTCGGATGAATTGCGACGTGCCAATATGCGTCCTGGAGGTCCAGGACGCATACTGGCTCACCATCCAAGATTAATTTATTAAAAGATAAATTACTGATCACCATCCAAGTGTCCGGCTCCAACAGAAGACGGACCTGGGCTAGAGTAGCCATCCGAAAGGAGAGGGCAATAAAACCAACAGGTTTAGACAGGACAAGTCCAGAATGAACCCGAGGTCACCCACCTGAGGGACAAAGTCGGTTTGACCCACGCCCAAGCAAAACCACTCTGAGACGACCTGACAGAGCACAGGAGAAGAGGCCTGCCCCGCTAGCCCCAAACCCCCCTGCTTGATACCTGCTTGATGGGGTTCTGGGAGTTTTTCTCCCCAAGCCCGGCCCGAGGCCAGGCTTGACTTGTGAGAGTTTGGTCCACCAGACTGTTGCTTGGAGCTGCCTGCAGGCCCACATATCCATGGGCCCGCATGGCCCCGAAAGAGGAGGGGCCACCCAACGTCACCATAGGCTGCACGAAATGGCTCAAAACACCCACAAATCGTGAGACCAGGTGCACGCAAACAGAGCGAGCCTCACCCCCCACCGCCCTGTCAATGGGACGGACCGCGAAAGGCCCGATACATCTTTCAAGCACCTAAGCAACGCTCAGGGCAAACAGAAACAGACGGTACCGAAGGCTGCGCAGGTGCCGAATCTGACACCACTGGCCTACCATGATGGGAAGAACCCTGAGCTCTGGCACGACCCTGCCGGGAAGGACCCCCCATGAGCCTGTGGAGGATTAACAAGTCCGACATAGGACGGCAACTAGCCGAAGCTGCCTGCAGATACTGCACAACTGCAGACTCGGCAAACACCAATGGACTAAAGGGCGAAGGAGCCTAAGAGCCAGGGTCCAAGCGGATTCCAAGGAAGAAGCGAGCACCACCTGCCGACACCCGAGTCGAGAAACAAAAAACCGTGAAACCGCATCCCACAGGAGTGGCACAAACAGCTTCAACAATGCAGAAAACGCACGCACCAAGGGCAATGCACCAGACCCAGAGGCAGCCCCAAGTGCCTCCACATATACCTCAAGCCAGTCCGAGGACAGCTCTAGGAAGGAGAAGAAGCGCAGGGCCGAAGCCAACAGGCCACATGTGCGCAAATCCTACGTGACCAATGCAGCCGAAAGGGAAGGAACCTGTACATGGAGCTGCATCACACCAACATCCCGCGGAAGGGCAAGGGCGAACAAGCACGCATCAAGATGCTCAAATTCGCCCCCCCAAGGAAAACCTGCAACGCCTTCAGAGCCTCCCTCTATTCAAGTGTGCGGGATCGACAGAACATATGCTGAGCCTCCAACGAGAAGAGAGGGCAGTCTGCTAACCAGGATGACTCCGGAACTTCATAACGAACCCAATAAGAACACGAAGACCCATACACGAAGGAACGTGGATCCATTATGAAAGCATAATCCAAGTCGCGCCAGAGGTTAGCTGCAAGGACTTCCCACACCACATGGGACGGGACACGGGAAGCCGAAAACCTTCGGAAAGACAAGACCGAAGAACCCACGGGATCACTGAACCGAACCCGCAGAGGAGTAGACACCAAATCCAATTCGTACGAGGAAGGAGCAAAAGAGGAACGCTCTGAGGATGAGGATGAGAAAAAGTACTGAAGCAAGCACAGTACCCTGGGGGACTGAGCTCTTCACAGTTGATGGACGGGATTTTATTTTGTTGACTATTACACATTGGGTTCTGTTAGTCAGGAAATTGTAGATCCATCTGCCTATTTTTCCGGAAATTCCTTTTGAGCGCATTTTATGTGCAATAACACCATGGTCACATTTGTCAAAGGCTTTTGCGAAATCTGTGTAAATTACATCAGCGTTTTGTCTATCTTCCATGGCATCTAATGCCATGTTATAGTGGCCCAGCAACTGCGACAGGCAAGAGCGCCCTGTTCTGAAACCATGTTGTCCGGGGTTATGGAGATGCTGTGATTCCATGTATTTTGTGATCTTACTTCTTAGCACTCTCTCAAAAAATTTTATGATGTGCAATGTTAGTGCTATCGGTCTGTAATTTTTTGCCTTTGCCTTATTTCCTCCTTTATGGAATGGTGCTATCTCTGCTGTTTTTAGTATGTCAAAGATAATGCCAGTGTCTAGGCTTTGTCTCCACAGAATGTGAAGGGCCTGCGAGTGTTTTTTTTACAGTTCTTGATGAATAAGGAGTACCAAGAATCCGGGCCTGGTGCAGAGTGCATAGGCATACTGTTTATGGCTTCCTCAAAATCCAGTGGGGATAGGGTGACATCTGATATATGATTTGATGTTGGTATCATATCCATGAAAAATTCATTTGAGTTATCAATCTTTAGTGAGTTTAGTGGCTCGCTGAAAACAGTCGTACTCTTTCCTCAGTATCTCGCTCATTTCTATGTTGTCATCGGTCAAAGTTCCCTCTCCCTTTCGCAGGGGCCCGATACTAGATGTAGTTTTTTATCTTGATTTTGCATAGGAGAAAAAATATTTCGGATTTCTCTCTCTCTCACTGATGGCCTTTTGCTCTCTTTGCCTCTCCTGGGTTTTGTATGATTCTTGTAGCTTTAGTTCACTTGTTTCTATTTCTCTACCTAACCTGCTTCGCCGTTTTTGAAATTGGGTACAACTCTCAAGTTATTCCGCAATTCATTTTCTTCGCCTATAGAGGGAACGACGCTCCCGTTCCAATCTGCATCTCTATCTTTTTTCTTAGGGGTATGCGGTTTGAACATATTTCTAGTGCTACTGAGCTTATTTTTTCCAGGCACTGGTTCAGGTTTGCATTTTCTAGCTGTTCTTCCCAGCTTATTTCTGTGAAGTCTTGGTTTATTTGCTCCCAGTTTATCTGTTTATTATTAAAGTTGAATTTACTGAAATCTCTTCCGCCGGGCATCGGAACTGGTTTTGAAGGTCTATTCCCCATGCTTGTTGGACACCATGGTATGTTGTTTCGGCACCATGGCATGGTATTCAAACAACATAGTGGCCACAACAAAATTGCATGACAAAAAGAGACAGCAGCCAGCAGACGACGCCATCTCCGTCACCAAAATGGCTCCTCCCAACATACTCCTTTTGCTATTATTACGCTATATACACATGTTATATATATATAGGTATCTACATTTGTGTTCACCATAGTGAACCACTAAGCTAGAATGTTGAGTGCAGACAGTAACAGGTGGCCACACAGTCAGCAGATGATGCTATCTCCCTTCCTCAGCATTACTCCTCCCACCATACTACGCATAGCGCTAATTATCACAAGAGTCCTGCTATTATCAGAATATTGGTAATTTTTACCAGTCAGGGATCTTCTGTAATACTATCATCATTAAATAATACCAGTTACATATATATATTTTGACATTTTTAGGTGATGCTGTGGTCACAAGCTGAACAGCAGTGCTATTAGTTCATGCTGCGTGCACCAGCCTTGGCTGCTCACTCAGTACTGAGGCTCTCACACTTGCCTGACAGCTGAGTGGATAGCGCTTTGGATTCATAGTCCTGAGGATCCAGGTTCGATTCCCGGTGGAGGCAGAAACAAACGGGCAGTTTCTTTCACCCTGATGACCCTGCTACCTAGTAGTAAATAGGTACCTGGGAATTAGACAGCTGCTATGGGCTGCTTCCTTTGAGGGGTGTAACAAAAAAAAAGGACTGGTCAAGGACCGGGCCACGGGGACGCTAAGCCCTGAAATCATCTCAAGATGAGCTAAATGACCCGGAATGCTGTCCACAATTTTTTTTTTAAATGGCATTTGTTTACACGAGCCCCAAGGAAGCTGGTGTGAACCCCGTGTAGTCGTAGGACTTTTAAACCTTACGTGGTATTCCCAACCATACATAGCTGTGGTATGCACTTCTGCGACAGTTACTCACCCCAGCTAAACAGTGGTGCCTCGATTAACGAATTTAATCCGTTCCAGCACCGAGCTCATCATGTGAAACGCTTGTCTTGCAAAACAACACTGTCGTTGGAGGCATCCGAGAACCAGCGGGAACGCTAGGAAGCACCATGTGGTTTTCTCGTAAATCAAGACAAATTTTTCTGCGAGTGGCTTGCTCATTACTCGAAATGCTCATAACTGGAGTTGCTCGTCACTCGAGGTTCCACTGTTTATGTATTGCACAGTTTAAGAGTTAAAAAGACTTAAATGTATATAAACGGTACTTTCTGGTGGGCCCATCGGTGGCTCTCTGATCCCCTTCCTAGCATAAAAAAGTCACTATGCTCTTCAGAGTCTTGTCACCAAAAATCGTATACATTACAGGGTAATCATATCGGAAGACCTTGCTTTTAAAAATGAATTAAAGGTATATATAAACGGTTCTTTCTTGTGGATCCATTGGCGACTCTCTGATCCCCTCCCTTTCAAGTGTGTCAGTTGTTTTTTGATGGTACATAACCGATGGGTTGACACCTGATGAGACTATGAGCTGCCACAGTGGCCACCTGGTGGCTGGAGTTTGTAACTAACCTGGACTGTACCTGTAAGAGGAAAATAAGCCAACTACTGTACAGTACAGTGTTCCTAGTTGTCACAGTTGTTCACATTTTCCCCTTGTTTTGTTTTGCCTTACCTTTCTGGTGACACACACACTGTTTTGGGTGGTCTAGTATTCCCTGTTCCTCCCACCTCTTTCACTGGACCTAACCCTTCCCTCCCACAAAAAATAAATTACTGATCAGCTTGATGGGGTTTTGGGAGTAGTTTTATTCCCCAAGCCCGGCCCGAGGCCAGGCTCGACTTGAGAGAGCTTGGTCCAACAGGCTGTTGCTTGGAACAGCCCGCAGGTCCACATGTCCACTTTCTCTTGATGTCCACTGTTGTTCAGGCAATATCTCTTATACTCCATCAAGTAAGCCACCATACTAGTCAATGCAGGAATGCAAGGAAAGGGACTGATGAATCAGTTAGGATAGACATAAAAAAATAAGCGCTACTGACCTCGCCAGCATTATATGCTTTATTAACTTCCTTGGTGATGGGGTCTATAAGTTGTACTTGACCCCCCAACAAGCCCACTAGCAGGGAGACGCCATCAGCATTTGCCGTTGTTGCATTGAAGTCGTGGCAAGTTGGCACGTCCTCTTTGTTGTAGGCTCTTTTGTCTATAGGTTTGGTTAAGTCTGCTGCCTGGAAAAAATTGAATTATAAAACAAACATACAAGTATGGTATTGCTAGGGTATGATATTATAGTACTACTGTGTATATATTGATAAATTAAGTATGAATTCCAGTGATCTCCATTTTCTTTAAAATTTGAAAAACCACACATTAGTCTTATTTAAAATGTAAAGCACAATGTCTACCAATGTGGCAAATTATTATTTATTTCCCAGAGATCCTAAATGCAATTTTTTTTTTAACACTATTTCACCTCTTTATTATTTGGCCATGTATTGTAAAGTTATCCAATTTCCAAACACTTAACCACTGTACTGCACCACCCGACATGACACGGGGTATGGCGGTGCGCCAGTCGACATGTGAGCAATGTTAGGATATCGCAAGATTGAAAACGCGAGTGGTGGGTTGGTTACGAGATGGAGGCGTAAGGCCTGAAGTGAGTGGCAGCCATCTTGAAAAAAATTCCCAGCATTCCCCAGGGCCACGGGCAGGCTCAGTTATAATTGACCAACCATGGCTGATTCATGTGCCTCCTGCTCCCAATCCCCTGTTGGATGCGGTGTTGAAAGATCACTGTCTGAAGGGAAAATTCGGACATTATTGTTTCAAGAAGAAAAGGGTAGTGATATTGATGAACCAAGGAACTATAGATCTAACAGAAGTGTCCAATACAAGAGATATAGACACAAATGCGAATGAAACAGCGAGCGTGTCCTGTACAGGGCGAGCGCCAGTCATGCTGCAGCCTAACAGACCATCGCACTTGCCAGTATTATCACTGTCTATCTGTGTCATCTTCCATTTTTGACAAAAGTGATACTATAGATGAAATATTTTCTGTGTTCAGTGATGCTGCTTCTGATACAAGTACAGTAGCATAGATGAACCGAGTGTTAGGGCTTCCATGGTGGAGGTATTAGGCAGATATTTGCTGTCTCGGCAGCATGTCATGCCAAGCGCCTCAATGGTTTCCCCTCATGAGGGCACTGACGCCAGTACACAGAGTAATCACACTAACATGATATGTCAATGAGATGACAGTCAATGTTGAGATAGACTCATGATGTGTCATTCTTTTATGTAGTATTTATGTATGGTTTTGGAAGCCTCTAGATTCTCACTACCTTAACCACTTAACTGCGCCAACCGAGTATTCTCGGTCGGCGGGAAACTGCGCCAACCGAGAAAACTCTTTGAATTTTCGGTACCAATTCTAAATGTGTACGAGGCTGGTTGTGTACGAAATGAACTCTTAGGACCTCCAGTGAGAGGCAGCCATCTTAGAAAAAATTCCCAGAATGCCCTAGGGCTGCTGGCTGGGTTAGTACTGAATGAGCAACCATGGGTGGTGCACATGCCTCTGGCTCCCAAACACCTGTCCGACGCGGTGTTGAAAGATAATGCTCTGTCGGTGAAATTCAAACCTTATTGTTTGAAGAACATAAGGGTCATAATATTGGTGAAGCTAGGAGCAGTAAGGACCTAACACAAAGGTCGGTTGCAAGTGATACAGCACCTATGAGGACAATACAGTGAGCGTATACAGTTGTAGCTCTGAGCGTCACCCTTGCAATCCTATGCTATCTCCAATTTATGTAAATGATACATAGATGAATCGTTTTCTGCATTCAGTGATGATGCATCTGATACAAATAGCATAGAAGAACAATGTTTGCGGCTTCCATGGTGGTGTTTTCCATAGATATTTTCAAGAATACCTGAATCTCTTCCTAACTGATGGACACACTTTGAGGCTAGCTGAATCTCTTTCTGACTGACGGACACTCCTGAGGTAAGCTGAATCTCTTCCTGTGTGGGACCATACAAAGCGATCTTTTCAAGACTACCTTACAAATTGATCTTTTCCTATAATATTTTCAATACTTCCTTATACTTTACAAGGTTGGCTACATACAACCTACAAGTACTAAAGCCAAGGGTGTACGTGAGTGCGTTATTTGCAAGCACACACAATGAAGAAACAGGAAGCGAAAATTTATCTGTACCTGGTGCACTGAGAGCGAAGTCGCGCTGTGTACCATGGGCTACTTCGTTGATTATTACTCGCTTCCGAAGTACTGAGTGTGTAATACAGTGTGTTACTGTGTAAATAGTGTGTGAAACTGTACATATTGTAATTTTAGTGAATTTTAACAGGTAATATTGCGACAAACATTTATTATGAACACATTACTGACACATGTATCACAGTTCCAGGGAACATTATGAACGTTCTACTGTATACATATTGTAAAGGACACAAATATACATCATATACGATAAAAAAACAAATAAAACTGCATTGGAAATACATAAAACAAATAATTTAAAATATATTTGTGGCAACACCCGGTGCTTGAATGGCCCGCACGACCGTGTCTGGGTGAGTCACGCACTGGCGACCAGGCCCTGATGACGTCACAGCGCATCTTGTCCACGTCCCTACAGCCAAAGTAAGTGGAATTTGGTACTTATTTTTACATAGACATGTTCAGGGAAGGGAATTTATCATTTTACGAAGAAAAAAAAGAATTTTTTTGGAACACTTCATTTCATGCGCACCAGGGGAATTTCTCAATAAACTCCGCGCAGCACGGTGGTTAAACATTACTACCGAAAACTGAACTTTCACGCAGAACTCCCCAATTCAAAAACAAGCCAACTAACATAACATCACAACCACTGCGCCACTGTGCACCTCCCACCTCCCTGGGAGGGGAAAGGTGGAGCCTCAGATCCCTGCGCTGGCCATCCAACCCAAGTTTAGAGACTGAATACAAAAAATGTGAATACCACTGATAACAGGGAAGGAGAGATGCCGGGGAGCCTCCGAGACTCACCCAGAAAATGGAATTTCATTACATTCCATGCTGGTTTTTTGTGGAGAGCCCCTCCAGCTAACCGGAGCTACCTAAGCAAAGAAAAAGGAAAAAAGGGATTTACCTGGGAGACGGCCGCTACTCGCACCTCAACTCGAAGTCGAGACAACTGGTTGCAACCTGTGACCCAAAACGACAAAGGCCCAACTAGGGCCAGGAACATTAATGAGGTAACGGGCGGCCAGGACCCTGTTCGACCTCCAAAACCCTCGCACCCGAATGTCACCCCAAGACCTATTACCAAAAACGGCAGCTAAAGCAGCAATTTCCGGACATCATGGGCACGAGGATAGACCACTGGCTGGCTGAACCAAATAACCCTGTGGACGACCTGGGAGATCTGAACCCCCGGAACAGGAAACAAGGGAAACCGGGTCAACCCAAAGCATGTCCCCGGCCACCAAGGCCGTAGCGCGCAAATAACGGCGAAGACCCGCAACCAGACAACACATGATGCACCCCCGACCAAGCCAACCACGCATCAACAACCCAAGGACCCCCCCCTCCGGAAAACCGTTGTCTCGTTCTTTGCCAGAAAAGAAGGAGACAGCTGCAAATGAACAAACCTTCCACCAGGACCGAAAGAGCAGAAACCCCTGTGCAAGGAAAGCATGAAGCTCCCGGACCCCCCCCCCCCCAGAGGCCAATGCCAACAAGAAGAGCACCTTATCAAAAGAATACCGAACTAAAGAGACCATCACAAAACCGAGGAGAAGAGAGAGAAGCCGGTCCACCGACCAGGATGGCTCAGACGATGCATGAACAAGTCGGAGGTGAAACAATGCACGAGACAGCTTGCGAAATGGGCTAAAGTAACATCCACACCGAACACAAGCTGGAGGGGCTCCGCCAGCAGCGCACAATCTTGGTCAATAAGACAAGACCTCTCCAAGGAAGACAGAGAAAAGCTGAAAATGAACTTAATTGAGGCAAAACGGCTAAATGGGGATAGAAATGAAGAAGACAGAAATTCTTTTTTTTACAAAGTGACAGGGACTGGAAAGCTTGTGAAATGGTACATAAAAACAAAGCAACAAGATCAGTAGTGGAAGGGGGAGTAAAGAGCAAAGGAAAAGGGAACATGTTCCTGAAAATTGTATATACCAACATAGATGGAGTGAGGTCAAAAACTTTGGAGTTGCAAGATATAATCCAGCTTAGGGTCCCAGATATTGTTGCATTATCAGAAACGAAACTTGAAGGAAATATAATAAATGAAGTCATATTCCCAAGAGGCTACTCAGTTTGGAGACGTGACAGGAAAACTAGGAAGGGAGGAGGAGTGGCTGTACTGGTGAAAAAACACCTGAAGGTAAAAGAGTTAATATTTGAAAACCCTCGAGATATTGACATAATGGCATTGCAGGTCTGGAATCAGGATGATAACCTGATAATTGTAAATACCTACAGCCCACCAGCAAGCAACACGTGGACAAAGGAAGAACTGGATGACAAACGAGAGGGCCTCATAATGGTCATGAGAGATATTATTGTACAAGCAGATAAAGATAAATCACGACTGTTGATACTGGGGGACTTCAACTTTAGAGCAATAGACTGGGAGGCCTATGAAGCAAGAACGGAGGACTTTTGGACATGCAGATTTGTGAACCTCATTCTGGAGACATTCTTGTATCAACACATAAAGCAAGCCACAAGAATGAGGGAAGGAGATATACCGTCAGTACTGGATCTAGTATTCACCAGGAAAGAAGAAGAGATTTTTGACATCCAGTACCTTCCTCCCTTGGGAAAGAGTGATCACGTCCTGTTAGACATTAAATATGCTTTAAGATATCATCTAGAAGAAAATGGGGACATTGAAACAGTTGATAAACTCGATTTAAAGAGAGGCAACTATGGGGAACTTCGAAATTTTTTTAATGAGTGTAATTGGACAGAATTGTTGCTAGGCAGGGAAGTAAATGAAATGTATGCCAAATTTTTAAAAATATACGAGGAAGGCACACAAACATTCATACCAAAACAGAGATGCAGGACCAAAAAACAGGATTGGTTCGACAGAAATTGTGAGAGGGCAAGAGACCAAAAGACACAAAAATGGAATCAGTATAGGAAGAGGCCAAACCCCCAAACATACCAGCGATACAAAGATGCGAGAAACA